CAGGGCTCAGGGGGCACTGCCCTTCCAGGGCACAGCTTTGTGCCAGGGGAACAAACCCCACTTTTCCTCTCATTTTCTGCAGCAGCCCTGCTCTATAAAGGCATGACCATGAGGCTGGATCCTCTGAAGGATGCAGGGCATGAACACAGGTGTTTGCAGAGCAGCTGGGGCTCCTCACTGGAGCCCCTTGATTTCAAAAAGCCTTTGTGCCAAGCAAAGCTCAGCATGCTGAGCTTTGAGCTGTCAATTAAAAGGCAAAGGACTGTAAATCCTCTTTGCAAACACTTGGAGCCCTGCAGTGGGTGGTTCCCTGAGCTCCTGCAATCTGTTCTGCCCAGGGAAGAAATCTGCAGTGGCCCCATGCCTGAGGCACGCTGGGCTGGTGGCCACAGGGGTCAGTGCTCACAGGGGTCAGTGGCCACAGGGGTCAGTGCTCACAGGGGTCAGTGCTCACAGGGGTCAGTGCTCACAGGGGTCAGTGGTCAGAGGGGTCAGTGCTCACAGGGGTCAGTGGTCAGAGGGGTCAGTGCTCACAGGGGTCAGTGGCCACAGGGGTCAGTGGTCAGAGGGGCTGGCAGTCACAGGGATCGGTCAGAGGGGCTGGTGTTTGCAGGGGTCAGTGCTCACAGGGGTCTGTGGTCCCAAGGGTCAGTGGTCAGAGGGTCTGATTGTCACAGGGGTCGGTGGTCAGAGGGGCTGGTGGTCGCAAGGATCAGTGCTCACACGGCTCGGTGGTCCCAGGGGATTGATGGTCACGGGGGTCGGTGGTACCAGGGATTGGTGGTCACAGGAGTCAGTGGCCGCAGGGGTCAGTGGTGACAGGAGCCCACTGTCGTCAGGGTCTCAGGGGGCAGTGGGGACAGCAGCCCACTGTCGCCAGGGTCTCAGGGGGCAGTGGGGACAGCAGCCCACTGTCGCCAGGGTCGCAGGGGGCAGTGGGGACAGCAGCCCACTGTCGCCAGGGTCGCAGGGGTCCCCGGCTGCAATTCCCGGTATCCCCACAGGGTGGTGCCAGGGAGCCGCTCCCGTCCCCGGCCCGGTTTTTTTTTTGTTTTTGTTTTTTTTTTGGAGGGTTCCTTTATAAAATTCTTTTCTTGGACACGATTCCAGGTGGATTTCGTGTCCCGGGCTGCTGTCGGGGGAGTTCCGTGTGCTGGAGGCTGCTCTGCCCAGGGGTGCAGGGCAGGGGGTGCTGGGGCCGAGCTGCACGGAGCTGGTTCCGCGGCGAGCAGAGGCTGAAGCCGGACCGTGGGCTGTGCTTGGATCCAGCCATGGAATCACCAGGCTGGAAAAGACCTCAAGAGTCATGAAGCTCAATGGTCAACCCAGCCCTGCCGAGCCCACCTCTAACCCATGTCCCCAGGTGCCACATCCACGCGTCCTTTAAATGCCCCCAGCCGCGGTGACTCCACCACCGCCCTGGGCGGCTGTGCCAGGGCTGGGCAAACTTTTGGAGAAGAAATTTTCCACAATATCCCACCTAAACCACCCCTGGAGAAACTTGAGGCTGTTGCCTGTCATCGTGTCCCTTGTCACCCGGGAGAAGAGGCCGATTCCCGGCTCCAGCCTTTTTGGGGGCGTTTCTCATGGTTCTGCGTGTCCGGGGCGCAGCCCTGGGATGCTCCCCTGCCCTCTCCAGCACAGGGAACTCGGCGACCTTCCAGGCCTTTTCCAGCCTCAGCAGCTCCACGATTCCCCGAATCCCAGCTAATGGGGCTCATGTGATGAGGTTTGTTCTCTCCAGAGCACTCAGCGTTTCCCCGGCGCTGCGCCTCGCTCGGCCAAAGCTCCTAAAGACAAACACCCTTAATCACCCCGCAGCGAGTGAGTGCCGCTTCGGGGTTGGAAATGTTTTGCTGTGCCGGTGTCCTTGGCGTGGGTGTTCATGCCTGTGAAAAATGCGTATTTTATGACAGGCTTTTCGCAAATATTGAAATTAATATTCTAGGTGTTATGTTACAAAGTTATGCTGTATTAATTGTCTTTAGTAGTGTGTTAAATATAGTTTTAAGTTATAAGATAACGTTAAAATAGAAACTATGCTATGTAAGATATTTTTTTAAAGAGAGGACTCGCACCGAGACAGCAGCCACAGGACACCTAAATCTTTCAGAGAAAAGGAATTTATTGCTCCATTATCGAGCTCTTCTCGCCTCGCTCAGCCCTGAAGACGCCATCAGCATTCAGAGGAAGGAGCTGACACTGACCAGACAGAATCCCGTGTTTGAATGGAATTTATGCATCATCTGTGAGGTGGATGAATATGCAACCGGCTGTGGCTTTAAGGGTTAATCCTCTGTTAACGGGTGTCCCTTTTCAGGTTTATTTTGCCCAGAAAAGGTACCCGGACCATCCGTAACTCTTTGTTCTTATCGTCTCGTATTGTCCTAATCCAAATTGTCCAAATTTTTACTACTCTAATTATATTACTCTTTTTCTAACCACTTTATCACTGTTAAACTTTTACAATTTTTACAAACAAGCGACTGGCGTTTCTCGGGGCCCGAGGCCGCCCGTCGGTCGGGGCCGGAGCCGGGCGCAGCGGGCGATGCCAGCCCCGCCGAGCCCGGGCTGCGGCCGCTCCCTGCCCCGGCTCTCTGTGCCCGCAAGCGGAGCCCGAGCAGCTCCCGGCTCGGGAACGAGCGCAGGATGCCGAGAGCGACCGCGGGTTTGTCCTCACAACAGGCTGGTGGGTAAAAGTACCAAAGGAACAATGGGAAGGATTCCACTGATTGATGAATGGATAAAATGTGTTTGCCTTTACCAGCGGTTTGTTTGTAGGTTTGTTGGTGAATGGAATTGGATGTTGAAAGATGAAAGAAACAATGGGGGGGAAAAAATGTCCTTAATTCCATAAGAATTAAAAATTAAAAATGAGGGTTGTACATTAGAGGGAAATCTCTGGTATCAGGAATTTCAGGAAGTCTGTACCTCTCAAGTACCTCAGAAATGGGGAAAGAGGGAGGGAAATGTGGGAAATTGGGATATAAAGGAGGCTGCATCCTCCAAAAACTTGAGAGGCCTCAGGGGAATGCCCCATGGCCTCTCCCTTTATTCGAATAAAGTGGAAGGACTCCTCTGTCTCCTTTTTGGACATAAACCTCTGGTGTTTGTGGGTGAATTTTCCTGACAATGTGGAACAGACCAGGAGGGATCACACGGAGCTCTTCTCCTGGGTGAGCATGGGGACAGGGATGTCAGTCTGGAGTGAATGGGACAGGTGGGGAAGGGGAAGGGAAGAGGAACAGCGGGAAGATGTTCCAGATCTTCCTGGTGCTTTGAGAACGGCCGGGGGAAGTGGGGCTGGGGGCGGCCCGGGGCAGCCCTGGCAGGTGTCCCCTGGTGGGCACATCCCTGTGCCTGCATCCCCAGCCCCACTGTGGGCACCACGTGGGCTCAGCTGCCCCAGGTGAGCTGTTCCTGGTCCTTCCCTGCAGGGAATTCCCTTTCCCCAGGACAGGCTCCATCCTGGGCAGCTCTGCGTGTCCCCGAGGCGCTGGGCGAGGGACAGCCACACACCTGGGCAGGGTGAGGGCAACCTGAGCCACCACAGCAGCTCCTGGTGGCACCTGCCTGTCCCCTCTGCTGCCTGTCCCCAGCCTTGCCCCACACCAGACCCCGGGAGGAGGGTTTTGCCTGTCTGGAGGTCGCTGTCGTGGCCCCAGCGCCCACGGGAGAGGTGGCAGCAGGGTGTCCCAGCAGGTGATGCCCACGGGGAGGCTGGGCTCTCCCTGCTGCTCCCCTGGGAAAGGGCTGGAATCCCCAGCTGCCTCCCCAGCAGATCAGGGGCCCACCATCCTGTAGGGCTGGGCTTCTGAAAGCTGCAGACCCCAAAGTGCCCAGCCCCCTTGGGTCTGGACTGGGGGTGACTCTTTAATCCACCAGGCTTTGATATCTCTGTTTCTGGTGTGTGTGTGGGGCTGCTGAGCAGGTTAAGTGCTCATTACAGCCAGGCTGGGCTGTGTGGAGGGAGAGTAAATCAGTCCAGGGCACACTCAGCACAGCAAACACAGCTCTTCCGTGCCTCCCCTTGTGCACTTTATTATCTCCTTTTAACATGTTTGTGTTTTTATTTCAGTGGATCAGCTGTCTTTTAATGGCTGGGTGTTATTTTCTGTGCTCAGAGGTGAGAAGATGTTTTATTGTTGGTTTCTGCTGCTCGGTAAAAACTTCAGTGTGGGTAAATTATTAGAAAAATCATAACTCTGAATGTCCTGGCACTGCCAGGGGAGGCTCCTCCAGTGCCAGGACACTCCACATGAGGCTGGAGCACAGCGGAGGGAAGGCAAAATGCAGTGATAAGAGCCTAAAACACTGATAGCAGGCACTGCAGCACCTGAAATGCAGGAGAAAGAAACCGAGACATTTTCCAGCTCCACTTTGCAACAATTTATTTATTTGGAATGCTTACCTTTAGAATAATTTTGTTTTTTAGAAATGTTAAAAAAAAAAAAAAAAAAAAAAAAAAAAACAAAGAAACAAAACAAAACAACAACAACAACAACAAAAAAAAAAAACAGACAGAAAGAGAACAGAGAAAACCAAACTGATGCACAGACCACCCTAACACATGCTCTACACCAGGTACAGACTCAGGACTGCTCGGATGTGCTGTGGGTGCCAGAGCCATGCCAGGAGGTTGGAGGTGTTGGGGACGAGGTGACACCGGACCTGAGTGCCCTGGGACAGTGGTGCTGGCAGGGCTGATGCAGCTGCAGGTGCCCACATCTGCCAGAGCCCCCCGCCCGTGCCTGCACTCCCCCTCAGCGCCCTGGCTGACCCACGGCTGCTCCCCAGGTGAGCCTCCTGCTTTTTTGGGAATTCCCCACACCCATCCAGCATCCAGCATCCCACCTTCTGGTCACCTCCCACCCTCTCCGCTCCTCTGGGCTGGGTGGGGAAGAGGAGGGAAGGGGTGGGAGGCAGCAGGGGAGGTTTTGGCCGGGGCAGTGCCTCTCCCACCCAGCCCACCTGAGTTTCCAGCCGGGCCTGCCCCGGGCTCAGCACACGGAGCAGCTGTTGGTCTTGTTCATGGGCGGCCTGAGCGCCTGCTCCTTGGGCAGCGTCTCCCGCCTCTTGCAGAGCGCGGGGCTGAGCCTGCTGGGCAGGTTGGCCTGCTGCAGCAGCTCCCTGAACACCTCCAGGACGTTCTCGTTGTCCTTGGCCGACGTCTCCACGAAGCGGCTGTTCCAGTCCAGCTCCACCAGCGACAGCGCGTCCTCCACCGGCACCCGCCGCTGGCCGCCGCTCTCCGCCTTGTTGCCGACCACCACGATGGGAGGGAACTTGTCCTCCTTCACCTCCAGGATCTCCTCCCGCAGGCTCTTGACGCTCTCGAAGGACTCGGCGTCATCCACGGCGTAGACCAGGGCGAAGGCGTCGCTGTTCTGGATCGAGAGCTTCCTCATGGCCGGGAAGGAGTAGCTGCCGCTGGTGTCCAGGATCTCCACGGTGACCGTGGCCCCGCACACCTCGTACTCCTTGCTGTGCAGCTCCTCCACCGTGCGCCGGTGCTTGGGCTCGAAGGTGTCCAGCAGGAAGCGGCGGATCAGCGAGGTCTTGCCCACGCCGGCAGCTCCCAGGAAAACCAAGCGGACGTGGTTCTTCTCCTTCACCGCCAGGGACATGGCCGGCACGGAGGGGACAGGATGCTCCGCAGCTGGTGCTCACCCCGCAGGTGTCCCTGGGTGGCTGCAGCCCCGGTGTGTCCGTCTGTCCGTCCTCCCTGCCCTGACTCAGCGCAGCCGGGGAATGTTGGTGCCAGCGCTCCGCGAACTTCTCCCGCCTGCTTTGCCGCGGACTCTACAATCCCCGAGCCCGGCTCATTTTTTTATCCTAGTTCCTCTCTGCCATGTGGCACCAAACTGTCCAATCTCCGTGGCTTGTGGGTGCTGGAGGAGGGAGGGCAGGGAGGGAGGAGAGCGGGGTGCTCCGGGCCAATCCGCAGAGTTCAGTCCTGGAAAGCCGCTCCAGCCCTGGAGCGCAGCAGCAGCGCTGCTCCGCTGCCGAGCAGCACCGCCAGCTCCCCACAGAGCCACCGGAGCTGCCTGGCCTGGGCTGGCTGCCAGGGGGACACTCGGTGGCCATCCCCAGCCCTGGCGTGGCTCCTGGGCAGGGGCCGGACAGTGGCACCTGCAGCGTTTCCTGCGCCTGCCCGGGGCCGGGCACTCGTTTGCAGACGGGGTTGCTGTGAACGTGCCCAAGTCTCCAGTGAAGCGATGAAATCTTTGGCTGGAGGGGGAAAATAAGCTCTCCCGTCTGTCATAACCTCCTCATTCAGCTGTCAGTTACCGGTGATTTTTGTGAAATATTTAACCGGAGGGGTGGATAAAATCTCCATGAAGACGGCGCACGGCGCTCTCCGGGAGCAGATGCCGGGCAGCCACGGCCCTGACCCAGCAGCGGGGTTGCTCTAGAGGTGCAGGCTGCCCCAGCCAGGTGTGTTTGCTCAGCACTCGCCTTCCATCCCATGCTGGAGCTGTCTCAGGAGCTGATTCATGCAAAGTGCAAACACAAAGGGAACTTGCACAGAAGTTCAAATAAGTTTCTAACCTAAATTTGTGGATGTGTGGTTTTTTTGGAGCTTTAACACAGGTTTTCCTTTCATAGCCAAGTACCAGTTCCAGAATTTAGTTCTGGGTGAATTTGTTCTGTTGATTCCAAAACCATTTTCACTGGAATTAGTCCTGCCTTATAATTCTCCAGTTATTGTACATTTTAGCCATGTTAGGAGCTTTCCCAGCTAATCTTATTATCAGGAGAGCCAAGAGATTATATCAAGATGAGCAGAATCCTGGTGTCAGCCTGCCCTGGGAGAAGGGAAGGGTTGGGTCCCCAGCAGGACTGACAGTGGGATTGGTGTCCAGTGCCCCACAGCATCCCCTGGTGATGCACCTTCCCTCACCACCATGAAGCTCTTTCTGGGGACACTTCCTGAGCCATGAGGAGATCCCAGATGTCAAGGACTGAGCTGGAAGGAGCTGGGGATGCAGAAGATTTGATGGCAGCCTAAAAGCCAGGAGAAGGGGTGGTGTGACATCGGCACCAGGGCATATGAGGAACTGAAGACAGCAAGGCAGGACAAGTAATCTCAAGCCAGCCCTTGGAAGCTGTTTAAAGCCAAGCCCCTAATTTTTTTAATAGGAAAGAATTTGGTTAATGCCTCTTTGTGTTTGGTTTTCAGGAGAGATGGAAAGGGTTTCCCACAGTCCCTCCCAGCTGCTAGAGCAGATCTCTGCAGGCTCTCAGGATGTGCTGGGAGGCTGTGGTGCCCTTGCTGCTGCTCATTTTCCCAGCACTTCATTCCAAAGGGCCTCAAAACATGGATCTCTTCAATCTCACAACACCCAGCATCTCTCTGACAGGTGCAGAAGTGATGCCCAGGGTGAAGGAGGAACCCATGGCAGGAGGGAATGGGTACCCCAGGCTCCAAGCAGCCCATCCTGGCTCTAAACCATCCCAGGGAAGGAGCCAGCATGGACATCCATGCAATGCCAGGCAGCAATGCCATCCATGCAGGGCTTCCAGAGCTGGGCTTGGGAAGGGCAGCCTGGTGCTGTGGGAGCCAGGACTGGGTCACATCACAGCCACTGTCCTTGCTCTGGGTCACTCCTGCAGAGGTGGAAGTGTCCTGCCAGGTGTGGGCAGGGTGAAGAGCCAGCCTGGGCTGTGGCACAAAGAGCTGTGGCACTGTGGAGTCACAGCCAGAGTCACACAGAGCCAGGCTCTGCAGCCCCCGTGGTTTCTCACATCACTTGTCTCCCCTCAGTTCTCACATCTGTGCTGCTATGGTTACCGAGAGCCTGAGAGGTTTTAAATCTCCCTCAGAGCAATGGAGGATTTCAGGGTAATCTTGTTAGGAGATGAGCAATGAATATTTCCAAAGGCCTTTTGCATGGATAGCTGTTCCCTGTGAGCTTATGGCCCCTGACAGCAGGGAAAGCAAAGCACGGGGGACTGAGCAGGGAAGGATGAACACAGTGACTTGTTTTCCACTGCAGCCCTTTGTGCTCACACTAATGCCCCTAAATTCCGAATTTTTCAAGGTTGACCAGCTTGGGTCAGATATTACCCCCCAAAAAAATTATTTCAGGCTGTGTTTCCCCCAGGGAAAGACTCACGGGGCCTTTATGGGCACTTGGAGATGGGGACAGTGATGGATGAGCCCTGCAGAAAAGCCCTATATCCAGCCCAGGGGGGCTGAGATGGCTCGTGGCAGTGCCCAGGATCCATCTCTGGGGTTTTGCAATGCAGGTGGAGTTTGGATCCTGCAGCCAGGGCACAAACTGCACCCACAGGAACCGGAGCGTGGCAGGGCAAAGCCTCTGCCAGTGCTGAGCCAGAGTGTGCCCTGCGCTGTCCCCAGGGGAGAGGTGACACCCCGGGGACAGAGGAAGGAGGGAGGGAGGCAGAAACCTGCCTGCAAGGGAGCAGGGAGTGAAAGGAGCCCTGAGCAGGGCAGGGAGGAGGGCAGGCAGGGGGGGAAGGATGGAGGGATGACAGCAGCGTTGGGCAGGAGCTGGGATGGAGCAGGGCTGGGTTTGGGGCGGGGGGAGTCACACCCCCAATGTTCACAGGCAGGTCTGGAGCAAGCCTGGAGATGTTTGTGGCCATCCTTACCCCAAAGCCAACCCTCTGCAGGGCTGACAGAGCAGGGGGGTACCCCGTGGGAGGAGAGGGGTGGTCCCCAGGGTCCCAGTCAGTGCCAGGGCTCAGGCAGAGCCATCAGCCAAGCCTGGGCTGCTGGGTGGTCCCTGCCTGAGCCAAAGGATGGGAGACTGGATGGTTCCTGCCTGAGTGAAGCCCCCATGGGCTGGGCAGCCTTTGGCAGTCAGGAGAGGGCAGTTTGGGTCAGAATGCTGGGAAATGGTGTGTGGGCTGCTGCTTCCCACCGTGAGCTGCTGCAGGGCCAGGGAGCACGGGGACAGAGGAAGGGGCTGAGCCCCTGCTCCTGGGAAAAGCCAACAGCACTCAGCACAGGGGAAAGCCTGAGGTCTGCTCCCCTCTCAGGCCGTTTGCCAGTGGGAATGTGGAACCGTGTGGTGCCTCTTCTGTCCCTGAACCAGCCCTCAGAGCTCCACTGCTGGAGGGGTGTGAGTGAAGCTCGCCCCAAAAACATCCTGGTGTCCTGACAAAGTTTGTGAAATCTTTTACAAATATTCATTTTTTGCCTCGCTTTTCAGCTTATGTCTGGTGCCTGAAAGGGATTGAGTGAGGGGAAATCCAGCAGAGCACAGCAGCCCTTCCCATGGCCAAGCGCTCCCCAGCTCCACAGCTGCTCCCAGACGGGAGAAAGGCAATTTGCACCTTCAGGAACAGCCCGTGCTGGGCCTGGATGTGCTCTGGGGAGCTCCTGCCTCGGTGCCTGGCTGTCCTGGCTCAGAGGGAACAGCAGCTCTGGTGTTCTCAGCACTGGAGCTGCTGGTGCTGGGCGCTGCTCCAGCCCTGGACACGGTGCCCCGGATCAGCAGCGCTGGTCACACACGGGTGACAGAGCCCTGGGGCTGGCCCATTGCTCACAGGCAGTGAGGCATCACTGTCAGTGCTGGTGAGCAGGCTGGGCGTTCCCAGGAGCCTGAGCAGCTTCTGGAGCTGAGTCCTGCAATGGGCACCCAGAGCCTCAGCAGCCTTTGCACCCAGAGCAGGACACGGGCAGTGAGCACAGCCTGGGTGGATGATCCCACCCCACCCAGTCATGCCCCTGCCTCTGCTTCTCCCCTTGGATAAATCACAGAATTCACAGGATCACTGGGTTGGAAGAGACCTTCAAGATCATCTAGTCCAACCCAGCCCCAACACCTCAACTGAACCCTGGCACCCAGTGCCACATCCAGGCTTTGTTAAACACACCCAGGGATGGTGACTGCACCACCTCCCCGGGCAGCCATTCCAGAACTCTATCACCCTTTCTGTGAAATCTTCTTCCTGACATCCAACCTGTATTTCCCTTGGTGCAGCTGCAGGCTGTGTGCTCTGGTTGTGTCAGTGCTGCCTGGAGAAAGAGCCCAGCCCCAGCTGAGCACAGGCACCTTTCAGGAGCTGTGCAGAGTGATGAGGGCACCCCTGAGTCTCCTTTTCTCCAGGCTGAGCACCCCCAGCTCCCCCAGTTGTCCCTCACAGGGTTTGTGTTCCCAGCCCCTCACCAGCCATAAATTCATGGTGGATGTGAGCCTGGCTGTGTTTCCAGCTGGGTGTCCCAGCTGAGAAGCTGGGAAGGAAGTGGGAGCACTGGGAGCCCCTCCTGCACTGCCAGCTGTGCCCCAGCTGCTGCCCCTCTCTGCAGGCAGTGGCCAAGCAGCAGCCTCGTGGGGTGGATCCTGGCTTCTTCCAGGTGGAGTGAGCCCTGGAAGGGAGCCCAGGTGAAACAGGAGAGGGAGGAGAAGCTGCTGCCTGCTGTGGGACAGCAAAGGGCCAGCCTGGGCTGTGTGAGGCAGAGGAGAGGACAGGGTCAGCGAGGCAGGTCCTGCCCCGTGTGGGGACAAGCTGCACCCGAAAGGGTTAAACCTGCATCTCCCGGAGATTAAATCCAAATGGCCTTTGATTCAGCGGCAGGTGAGAGGAGAAATCCGAGCCCTATAGCCGCCACCCCCCTGGAGGGGGGATGCATAGATGGATCAGCCATACGTGC